ACTACTACTACTACTACTACTACTACTACTACTACTACTACTACTACTACTACTACTACTACTACTACTACTACTACTACTACTACTACTACTACTACTACTACTACTACTACTACTACTACTACTACTACTACTACTACTACTACTACTACTACTACTACTACTACTACTACTACTACTACTACTACTACTACTACTACTACTACTACTACTACTACTGAAGTCCAAGAGGCTCTCTCGGGAAGTCCAAGAGGCTCTCTCGGGAAGTCCAAGAGGCGCGCTCGGGAAGTCCAAGAGGAGCGCTCGGGAAGTCCAAGAGGCGCGCTGGGACACAGAAACTCCCAACCCAGACCCACTCCAAAACACACATACACTGGGACGCAGAAACACCCTATCTGGACACAGAAACACTCATCGAGGACACCGAAACCCCCATCTGGACACAGAAACACCTTTTGCCGGCCCGCCCCCCCCCCCTGACCCGCCCGTCTGGTCCTGCCGCTTGTTCCCCTGTTCCTGACCCCCCTCCTGCTAACCTCTCTCGTGTTCCATCCTTCTCCATCTCCCGTGTTCCTTCCCTCTTCCCTCCCCTCCCGCACTTCTTTCCTCCTCGCTTTTGCTTGTCCATGTCTCCCGACCCTTCCTGTTCAAGGGTGCGCCAATTGCGTGGCAGGTAAAGAAGGTATGCCCCAAAGCGGGGCACGATTAAAGACGAAGAGGGCGCGTCTCGATGGTTTGGGAGATACACCGGCACACGAGCAGACGAGAGTGAAGAATATTTGGATGATTGTTGCTGGTATCCCCCACGCGATCCCTCCGTGGCCCACCCACGACCCACTCCACGACCCACCCCGCCACCCACCCGCCACCCACCCGCGACCCACCCCGCGACCCACCCCGCGACCCACGCCCGCCCTCTCGCCCTGAGATGCTCAAGTGCACGGTGTGCTACGACGGATCGGCACGAGCTCGCGCAGCCAGCCAGCCGGCCAGAAACCAGCCCCCTCGCTCTGATCCTCCTCCTCCTCCTCCTCCTCCTCCTCCTCCTCCTCCTCCTCCTCCTCCTCCTCCTCCTCCTCCTCCTCCTCCTCCTCCTCCTCCTCCTCCTCCTCCTCCTCCTCCTCCTCCTCCTCCTCCTCCTCCTCCTCCTCCTCCTCCTCCTCCGCCTCCTCCTCCTCCTCCTCCTCCTCCTCCTCCTCCTCCTCCTCCTCCTCACCTCCTCCTCCTCCTCCTCCTCCTCCTCCTCCTCCTCCTCCTCCTCCTCCTCCTCCTCCTCCTCCTCCTTCCTCCTCCTCCTCCTCCTCCTCCTCCTCCTCCTCCTCCTCCTCCTCCTCCTCCTCCTCCTCCTCCTCCTCCTCCTCCTCCTCCTCCTCCTCCTCCTCCTCCTCCTCCTCCTCCTCCTCCTCCTCCTCCTCCTCCTCCTCCCTCCGCCTCCTCCGCCTCCAGAAACCAGCCCAAAACAGTGGCCAACTGACCGCTTGGGCAGCAGACCAATCGGCCGAGCCACCGGCCAGCCAAGCCGACAAGAAAACCAGACAGCCTGCCAACCAAGCAGGCGTGGCCATGCAAGCAATGTGAGGGGAGGGCAGCGGCAGAAGGCCAACCCCTTGAGAATATGTGTATATATATATATAACATTACTACGAGCAACTGACAGCTTTGATATT